GACCAGTTCGGGCAGTTTCACAAATGACCAGTCCACAAGCCTAATAGACCCATTTCACCCTCACAAAGATAATAAAGATAAAAGCGGACTATAGATGAACCTAGATAATTTGCATTGGCTTAAAATGAAAAATTCGATACTTAAAAAAGAAAAATTCATGCACATCTGCCATCTCTTACAGCAAATGAAAAATGTAGAATAATTAATTGCTGAAATAGCTTGAAGGCTATGACTATGCTTTACAAGGCTATGAGTGAAAATTGATTTCTGTGAGATCAAGATCTGCTTCATTAGCAATATAGATCGGACTTTGTATATAGACTAAAAATTGAAGCTTCATGCATGACTTGTTATACAGTTTCTCCTTTTTGCAAATGTATACTACTTTTTTGACAAATGCAAATATGTGAGCGTGAGCTCGATATACTGTACAGTGTATACAGTTGTTATTGTTCATTATGCATCATATTATTATCTAATTAATAAATACTCATACATCAATAAATTTGTGTGTTTCTGTGTCATATTCTGCCATATAACATAAGTTACTAGAGGTATTTTAAAACTTGAAAATGAAATAAACTCATACATTATTGTCAACTTGAAAAGAAAACAATGAAATATACAATACAAAATAATATAAATTTTATATTAGCTATTTTATTTTATAACCGTCAATAAATAGCCGATCCAATTTTCGGGTTAATGGCTACGTGTTCAACTCTGTAGCTTTGTAATTTTGAACCCAATGCAAAAGACAAGGGAACTCCTGGATCAAGTATTAGAAAAAAAAACTTTCATGGAGGACTTTTTGATAGAACTAATCTGCATTTGAGCTACAGGGAGAGGAAAATTACGAAATCCTCCCACGGTTAGTCTGATGGCAAGGGAACTGTAATCCTTGATCCGTCTACCACTGAGGATGTTTTACGTTAGCACTGTGATCGGTACAAGCCGTGTGCGGAATTTCGAATTGACCAGCAATCTATGGAATACCTTATTGGGCTGTGAGCGCTCTATCCCCTGGTCTTTGCTTTGGCTCTTTGTTTGTTATTGAAAAATATCTAAAATGTTTTTTGAACAGGGAATTTTAAGGATTTTTATTGCTTACAAAGTACATTAACTATACTACATGAATAGCTATAAATTTAAAATAAGTGTAATGTTTTCCATATATCATGAATATTAAATAGACTTGAATATAAATTGTTATTGTGTCTACTATATTTTTTGAATACAAGTATGAGTAAATATTTAATTCATATTAAACAGTTATAATATATTTGTTAATTAACTTAAAAATAGAAAGTTCTGAATTAAAAAGAATCAAAATATTAGAACATTTAAGAACTGATTACAGTAAATGAGGCTTAGCAAAACAAGCAGTAAATTGATTAAAAAATCTATTTTTATAGGGATTTATTCAGGAACTTTACCACTTTAAGAGTATTTTCTGAAAATAGACAAAAAACAGGACACTTTTTAAATTTTTCCAAGAGACGATAAAATAAGCAAATGCCAGTAGAATTGACAGCTATATACATATAAAATTTCTAACTATAAAACTATCATGCTAATTCTAATACATTAAAATATAAATCAAGTTAATTTAAATGCTATAAAGATTAATTTTTTCTAAATAACTTTTGTTACACCAATTCATTAATAGTATTTGTATAACTAACAACATTATTCAGCACTGTCTTAGATTATTGTTAACAGCAGTTCAAATTTAAAATGAAGGTACACTTTACTTTCTTTCATATATAATTGAATTATCATCTTAGATGCCATCATCATAGTTGGCCAGACAGCATAATGTGCGCCAATGTTTTCCTCTGATGATTTCTCCATAACAACTTCCTATTTATCTTTTATCACCAATTCTTTTCATTAATTGCCAGAAAATCAGACTCCACCAAATCAGCCCATTCCCCACTTTCACGTTCCAGTGGGTCTAAAAAGCAATATTTTTTTATTGAATTGTCATCACTCATTCGAATCACATGGGCCAACCAGTATATTTAATTTATTTTTACACACAAAGATCTCTAAATAGCAATTTTAATTTATTTCTCCTGACGCAAATGAAAAAGCTATTAATCTTATGCATAAAAAATGTTCCATCTTTTGTTCAACTTAAAATAAGTATTTATGTTTTTATTTTACTACGTTTTTATGTACTCACTTTCCTGTTTCTCAGGGCGATACCTTGCAATCGAAATTTCCAACTGGCTACAACATTCAAATTTTCATTGCAGCTACATGCCTGATGAGAGGACACATTTAGATTGACCACTACTAACTGACCTACAGACAACTACAAACAGATTAGTATTCATATTATCATTAAAAGGGATTTAATTTATAACCAGGATTCTAGCCACTTTCTAACAAACTAAGAGATCAAATTTAAAATTGAGTTCTATGCAGGATAATAAGATAGATTTTAATTGTTACCAGAATGCTACAAGCAGAATTAATCAATATATCTTATTACTGCCAATAGGAATTCATCATGAATTAAAATTTTGACCACTTTATTAGTTAGAATTATAATTAGAATGTTCTAATTTTAACTGCATCTCTGAACTGGAAGAGAATCAAAGTCACAATCCTTCCCTGGCCACTGCAAACTAAATGTACTGCTAAAAAAAAATTAACAACAAATCTGTGCCCAAAGAGTTTCCTAAATTGTGCCAGCGAAATTTATTGTTTTCAGAGAATTTCAATTCTGACATAAACAAATTTATAGACACAAAACTAAAATGAAGAAAATAATAAAATTAAATAAAAATTTCAAAAAGTCTGTTTTTCAAGTAGACTAGATAAGAGAAAATTTTACAGTCAGATATGAAATGAGAAACATGGGCTGCATCACTTTTGTAATAAACTTCTATCCCCCACCCCCAAGTCTTTCAAAAATGATGCATTCTACTTTTTTCTTTTTGTTGGGTTTGACAAAACTAAAATTAGATTTTCTCTCATTAAGTCTACTTGAAAAACCAGGTCTTAAGAAATTTATTACCTTATTTTTTAATATTTTGAATTATGAAATTAGATGCAAAAATTTACTATCTCAGAATAAACATACTTTTTTTTTTCTATAATATTGGATTTATAATTCTTAAAAAATGAGAAACAACCACTATTTGTGAAATATGGTCCCAATTATTTGTTTTGGAGAGCCATTAAAAGTTTAAACCTCTAAATAAAAAATTTTAATTAAATAAGTATAAGTTTCTGAATAATTAACAATTAAATTTCAAAAATAATAATTTTCTTTAAAATTAATTACTCTTCAGAAACTTTTAAAAACTCAAAAACTATTCAATTGATTTTGTTCAAATTTTATATTTTGCCAATTAAAATAATGTCATCAATCTTTAAAATGACAAAAAAACTTTGAGTATTTTAGAACTCAATTTTCTAGACTACTATTAAGTAAAATAATAATTCTTAATTATTTAAAATTATTTTTCACATAGAATCATCTTTATAATAAATAGTGTCAAAAATTTTTCCAAACACTAACAAATTTCTAAAGATGGTGAAATACATAAAAAGTAAAATTAACATTGAGTTGAGGGGCACAAACTTTCTATTGCTTTCTTAACCAAGTTTTTAGGACCATATTCTGGGGCAAAAGAATCCAAATTTGTCAACAACAAAAAAATTATGTTTAGTCTGTGCTTTTTGTGATGATTTTGCTACTTAAAATATCTTTCACACTAATTAATTAACATATTCAAGGTTAAAACCTTGAACCACTAAAATTTTGTCCTAATACATAACAACCAGATCATTAGATTAAAAGTTGTTTAATGGACATGTTTCATCTTTTTGCACACTCTACTTCCAAACATTAGAAAATTTATCTTCTTTAATTTCTACATCTTTCAACGCCTGCAATTCTTGCACAATACCGATCTCTTAATTCCTTTCTTTTTATTAAATTATCTAGTTTAAGCCTGTTTCTAATTCCTTATGGTTCACCCTCCTCTTTTTCCCTGTTGTAATTGGTTAGGAAACATGAGACTGCAAAAAACAAAAAGAGGAAATGCACATGAAACAAAAATTAATTGAAAAATATTCAAAAGTATTCTGTCGGTAGCAAACTTATCCACTGATAACATTTTTGTTTAATTGCTGCTTTGTTCTATATGATACTAATCATAGCAAGTTTTATAACATTTTAAGGAAAGAAATGATATATTACGAATTGATCAACATTTCAGAAAATATAGTATTTGAAAAATATTAAAATTAGCTAGTAATAATGGAATGCTAGTAACAAAGGTTTAATTAAATCAGATTAAATTTTTCGAAAAAAATAAAGCTAGTAATTTGAATATAAAAGATTTGGGAGAACCCTGAGAGCCCTAATTTAATTGACAAAACTATTAACTTTACAAAATAATTTAGAGGGTAAACTAGTTTAAAAAATTCCGATTTACAAGCACTTGACTTCAATCTGGTTTACTGCTTGATTTGATTAGTTTTTAAACATTTGTATAAAAACTAACACAACACAAAATAACATTCATAACACAAAATTGTCCATATAGTGGATATTTTTAAAATATTTGCAAAAATAACAAATAACAGAGAATGATAAGAAATAATAATATAGAAAAATGTTGAAAGAGAGGAAAAGCCCCAACCCAAGGAAGAAACGCATGTCAGCTTGTTTGTAATTTTCTTCTACGTCTAAGTGTTTTCATTTGAATGCTAACGAATTTTCAATAAAGCACCAAAAGTATAGTATGTTTATAAATATAGTACCATTTGTAGTTTCTTCAAAATGTTTAATTTCAGTTATGTCTTGATAATAAATAGTCTACTTTCTTAATTAATATTTAGAAAGGTGCACACAAAAAATAATTATGGAAAGTACAAAACCTGTATACAAATGCATTAATATTTAAATGTGTATCAATATTTTTTCCTCATTTGATTTAAGACTCTAAATTTGTTTTGACCAAATTCAAGGATTCCAATTAAAGTAAAACAAAACTTTTATTCATGATATTTTACAAGACAGAATTATTTACACTAAAAAATATGCACATTTACAATGAACAGAGTTATATAAATCATCTGTACATAGATTTTAAGATAAAAAAAAATTGTAATTTATCTGAAACGTTAATATGACAATGAAGAAACATTGGAAAAAAAACAGTGTTTAAACAATGAAATAAAAACTATGTTACTTCAAAATAGTTCTATAACACTTAAGACCATGAAAATATATTATACATACAATGAAATAACTAAATGAACAGTCCAATATTTAGAAAATTAGTTAGGGGTAGAATTATTTAACAGTAACAACCACAAACGAATTATTTGGATGAAAACTCAATAATTTTAAGAAAATCATTTTAGCAAATAAGCCGATCTTACACACAGAAAGCTTTTCATATGAATATTCACAAGCACATATACATTTTAAAAACAAATGGATATTTTTTTACTTAAAAAGTGGTCACACAAATGGTAAATGTCACTGCTTAATTATCAGGACTGTCATAATCTAACTTGGAGGCAGCCAAGCCTTCAACATCAACTTCCGGTTCCATTGCATTTAACATGTTTAAAGTTATATCTAAAAAATAAAAAAATCATGTTTTAAATAAGCATGAAAAAAAGCTGAATAAAAAATATGTATAACATAGTGAATTTTTAAAGACACAAGTATAAGAACAAATTATTTAAAAATTTTGGAGCACTCTCTTAACCAAAGTATTGGGGCCATACTTCTCAGATTGCGGCTACCCCTATACTTTGGGAATTAAAAAATCTGAATCTGTCGAAAAAAAAGTTATTTTTATATAGAGAAACAACGTTTTTTGGGTCTTATTTCGTAACTTCACTTTTTAATTAGCATAGTTAAGGGCACCCTTTCAAGCTATATATTATTGCAAATGAAGTAAGTTTGAGTCCTTAAACTTGAGTGAAGATCCGTTTAATAGATCAAGTTATTCAGGGTGGTCTGTTTTCTTTAGGTTTCTTTGTGTGTACTGTACACTTTTATTTGTGAAGCATTTATTGAGTTGAACCACTAGTTAAGTTATGAGGATTGTTACCACAAGAGAATCTCTAAGCTACAGACACAATTTGATGCAATGTTCAACTCTTTTTACAGTTGCTCACTTTTTTCTGTTACTGTGTTCCAAAATAAAATCAGATGACTCATGCTAACGATGACTCATGCTAACTCTTTAACAGTATAGTATCAACTTAGTGTAGTAATAGTCATAAAAAAAATTGAGCGTGCACATTAGAATATACAAAATAGTTGCTATGCCCCACACTCCAAGTTTTATTTATATTATCAATACAAATTGTGGTTCAATACTTTTTTTAACAGATCTTCAACTTAATACTAATAATATATATTTAAATTTATATATATCACGATAAATTGTCTTTATGCATCAATAGAATTTATTAAACAACCTCTACCTGCTGATTTTGGTGTTGATTGAGATATCACAGAATTTAATGCTCTGATTTTATCCTGTGAAACTGTCTTGATGGTTGCAGTCATTTGTTTTTTCAAAACAGTGCCGGGATCTTCAAAACTTTTTCTTTTCACAGGCACAGGAGCTGGTTTAATTTGAGGAGAGCTAAAAATAAAAATGATCATTAATCCAACATGGAAGTATAATATTTATAGAGAAAAAAAATTAACACTCAATAAACATAAAAAACTAGCAATATGAAATAATAAAAATTAATAAGTAAGTTTTTATGCATGACTCTAAAATCAGTTGTTAATATCTTATTATATGTAAATCAAGCTCAGTTCATTTGAGCTACTGTATACCATAAATCAATAATATACCAATAACACAAAAACATAGACGAGGCAGTAGGTTCAAACAGCTCATGTTGTCTTTTCAGCTGTCTGTTATACAACATCTGCCAAAATTTTAAAATAGAAAATTTAAATAAATTATTAGATGAATGTACAAAATTCACTATCAGCTTGGCTGGAAATATCAGTTCTAAAGCTGGTAGAGAAGCTGAATTTTTTTACTTACAAGGATTTTATACTTAGGAAAGTATGAACAATTTTAAAAATGATAAAAAGTCATAGTATAAATAATTTTTTTGAGACCAAAACCATAAAAGGGCAATTATATTGTGAGTGATATTACACTTTGATAGGTTTTCTTGTTTTTAAACAATTTGTCCTTTGATAGATATTTGATAATTTTTTTAAAAAAATATATAGATATAAGATGTTTCACTGTAACTTAATAATATTATGCATATAAGAAAAAGGGATGAAATTGATAAATGTTTTATTTAGAATAAAAATATAAAATGTGACTGACATGACATAGAAAGGGCATGGAGTAAAACATTATTTCGAAATACTACATCTTCCATAAGCAATAATATTATCTTTTGAAATTTAGTTAAAACAAAAAACTTAAAATTAATGGGAAACATTAAAAATACACATAGAATGACTTATAAAAAGTAGCAAACAGGGAAAAAGCTCGTGTGACTGTTAAACTCTGTATGTGACTGATGGTATAAATACAATCTATAAAAACATTAAGAAACTTTTTTTTTATTAATACAAAATACTTAAACATTACAAATTTTTATTTTATATCTAAAATAATTAATAAAAAATATGAATATTTTTAATGGAAGAATGCTATTAAATGTATATTTTATGATATTTTTTCTTTATTTTTTTTTTTAAACTTTTTATTTTTTGCTATATTGTCCTTTATGTCATGGAATTGTCTCAAAGAGTATAGATTATGGTTGAGGTCTTTTCTACTTGACAATTTAAAAATTAAAAAAAAAAACTCTTTAATTTCTCCCCACTACTACAAAAAATTTTTTAAAAAAATAAATAATTTGATTATATTTATATTAACTTAAAATCTGAAAATAATATTATTTTTTCAGTAATGTTTTCTGATCTTCTAATTGTCACACAGTCTTCATTGATTAGTTGTTATAAGTTGTTGCACATAAGTTAAGCTTAGAAAACATAAGTATGATTTAAAGTATTTAATTATTAATTTTCAATAATTATATAATAATTTGAATTATTATTATAAGAAATATTATTATTTCAGTTATAATATTGTTTTTAAACAATATTGAGTATTAATAATACATTTTATCATATGCTTTGGTTGGTAAATATACAAAAAAAAATCTGATTAAATTAAATAAATCTCTCTCTTTTTTTTTAAATATATGATTTTTACCAACTTTGATTAAGATACATAGCATAAAACAAGACAACACATATTTTTCACACACTTTTTCGCAGCCTATTGTATCACAGAAAATCAGGGCATAAAATACTAAAACATTACATGTTTTTGCTTTTGATAGATTCATTAAGCTTTTCTAAATCTCCGCCAAATGTTTTCACAGCAGATTTTAACATATCCATTTCTTGCATTGTCCATTTCCCACTAAATTAAAAGAAAAATGAGTAAAAACAAAATACAGTCGAACAAATAAAAAAAAAATCGAACTTGCTTATAACAACAGGGAAGGGGCTACAATATTTGCCCATTATAACACAGTGCTCGTAGAAAGAAAAGTTCGCGAAAAAATCATAATGGTTCATAAGTTATGCGTCAATAGATGCATAACTAGTTATTCTCCACTCATTTTCAAATTTTTTTTGTCTAATACTTTTTATTTCTCAATCACAAAATATTGCTCCCAAAAACCAAGATTTACTTGTAAAAAGCAAGCTATGCTTCAAGACACTTATCAACAAAGTATTTCCAATTTCTTTGTTACAACTGGGTTTTCCTTAAAAACTTGTTACAAGCTAGTTCGACTGCATTTATAGTAAATATTATATTAAAAGAACTAAACAAAAAAACATGCAATATCGTGAAAACTTTTACTTATGAAAAACTAAGGATTCTTAAATAATTTTAAACAAAAATATGATTAAAAATTACCTTGATGGAGAGGCTTCACCAACTGAATGTAAAGTCATTATTAATTCACCAAGCTTGTTAAATGCAGCCCCTGCAGCTGTAAAAATTTCTCCAACCTGCAAAGTTAGGTTTAATATAGGAAACGTATAAATATAAATTAGAAATATAGAAACCAACTAGATATTTAAAAGGCATAAAATAAAAGTATTTTAACATTACAAGAGCCTGTATTTTGATTAAACAATTGAGTTACTACTTTAATATTGCTTGTACATAAAATACTAAGTATTTTTAGGTAATAATCAAATTAATATTTCAAATTCATTTTGAGACAAATTTATTTTGCACATGATACTGAGTTCAATTTAGTTAACAGAGTAATCAATTTTTTTAAAAACTGCTTCTCAAATTTTGAAAACAGGCATTAAATTTAAAAATAAAATCTAAAAATGAATATATCAGAAAGTTGAAAACTAATGATTTACGTCATGCAGATATAACAGGGGTCTGTCTAGGTTTTTCTGACAGGTACCTATTTTGTGAAAATTTAGACGTAATTTGTGAAAAATTAAAAATTATATTAAAAAATCAACACAAAAATATGAATTTATCGTTACTTAAGGGATACAAAAATGAAATTTTAAGAAAAAGTATTTTGTGAAACTGCAGTTTTTCCTAAAATTGAATTTGTGAAACTACCGTTTTTCCTAAAGTTGAATTTGTGAAGGTACCACTAAACGGTAGTAAACTCGGCCTGGACGGACCCCTGTATAATCAGAAAAAATTTTAATCCGTTAAAAAGATATATTATCCAATCAAAACCTTAAATGGAATAATAGAAATGTGGGGACTGGAAATACCTACTGTATGAGGATTTTCAAAGAAGAGATTTTAGAATCGAGCACATATACATAAAATATATATAAAATATACTTTTTTTTAGCTTAGGTGGAAACTACACTAGTAATAATAATAATAAGGTGGACCAAACAAAGAACATATTTCAGACTTCTTCAAGACTTTCAGGCTTCTTTAACAAAACCAAAATAACAAATTTCAGTATAAGTGAATTATAGCAACATATTATTGAAATTTAATACAGAGAAAAATTAAATACATGGGCAAAAAAAAAAAAAAAACATTTCAGAATTAACTTTGGTTAACTGAAGTATATAGGTTCGAATAATTGAGATTTTAAAGTAATTATGCTTGCTTTGCATAATTATTATTATTATCAATAAAATTGACTTATTCAGGTATTTTTCTGCAAACAAACAAAAATGATGTAAATGAAAGATATTTCCGATTTTTTTGGATAGAAAAAAGAAACTTAGTTGTTTAATAAAATATTAATAGAGGTCTTTATTACAATATTTCAAAAGTTAGAAACATTATTTTAAATAAATATTTTTTATTAATTTTATTCGCTCACTCACAACTCTTACTACCAACAAATATATGAAGCATTATTTCTCACTAAAATGCAAATACATTTTTTTCAATGTATTATCTTTCAAAATTAACACTTGTAGTGCTGTAGTTAGTTTTTTGGTTCAGGGTTCGAAAAAACTCAGAAATTTTACCCGTCCCAGAGGAGGGCTTGTCCAGCAATGTCCCGTCCTCCTTTGAAACTAACCCGTAGCTTCTAAATAAATAAATATATAATGTTCTCTTATTTATTACAAACATTTATATAAATTGCACAATGAATTAGTAGTTACTGGCATTACATTATACAGTAATAAAAGAAATACAGGTTACTAATATTAACCTAGCATTTCTTTTATGAAATAATTTAAATGACAAAGGTCAAGTTATCTGGAATGTCAATTTATCCGAGGGTACTGCGTTTTTTAAATGAATCAAATATAACATTTGCCAGTTCCACAATCAATCCAATAATTTACATAGGTTTCTGCACAGAAATCTGAAAAGGGTTTTCCATTTAGGTTCATTATTGCGTTTAACGCTTCTTGTTTAAGACCAGTACATAATGTGTTTTTTTGTAAGTTCATTGTTGAAAAGCCCCTTTCAACCGCTGCAGTACTCCCAGACAGAGAAAACATCCATTTCACCATGCACAGTATGTTGCTGTATTTCTAGATTAGAGGGTCATTTTAGAAGTGAGGCCTGGACTCTTGTAAGATAACAAAAATTAAAAATGTATCACGAACATAAACGGGAAAATGGCCATCTGCGTGGACGTCGGATTCGAGAAATTGTTTGTCCGCGGGGAATTTTTGCCCGCCGAGGCCAGGCGGATGGGCGGTTTTTCGAGCCCTGTTTTGGTTCTTTTTTTCTTTAAATTCAGAAATAGTTTAAACTATAAACTCATAATTCATTATTATTTGGGCAGTGCACATGCTCCAAGAATATGTTCTGATAAAACAGCAAAGCAAATTTTAGTAAATTGGAAAAAACTCTTTAGCAAGTGGGAAAAAAAAGACTAAAATATACTTTAATATATTCATTAAAATTGTTATTTCGAACACCATGTTATCATTCCATTATTTTAATAAAAACTTATAATGATTTTAATACTTTTTTTTTAATATTAAGCCCGACTGTAGGTTTTTATCATTAAGTACCATCTTCCGTACCTTAATACAAAAAATAAGAGATTTCGGACACAATTTTTTTGTGTCGTCGCTACCTGAAAAAAGCCTATAATTTTAGAATGAATCATAGAATCCCTATCAGAACCTATGCCAAAACAAATGCTAAGTTTTGGCAACTACTGTAACAGTTCTTCCTAGGAATAAAAAAGGGCAGGGCGCTTCCTCATAGAAAAGGGCAGTATGAGTTTTGGCAGGGCACTCACTTACTACCGTTAAAATTTATCAAAATATGTAGGTATTATTAAGTAATAACTGAATTTGATCCTCAATTATTTAAATTACCCTCTAATACTATTGTCTTATGTGTATATTTTACTATGTAATTCTCACTCATAATCAAAATAACAGAAAAATTTAAAGCTTTTGAATAATAATTGAACTGAAAATTATGCGAAATTAACATTAAAAGGAGCATTTTTAAATAAAAGGTATTTATTTAAAAAAATTAAAGCTAAAATTTAAAATCACTAAGAAATATATAATAATAAACCCTCCTCTGAAATAAAAGATGTAAATATCTCTGGGGCCATGTATCACACAAATTTTAACTCTCTCTTCGAAAAACGCTTAGGGAAAACACGATACAATGGCCCACAAGCAGTGGCGTATCTAGGGTATGGCAAGTATGGCGAATGCCATGGGCGCATTATTTCAAAAAGGCGCAAAATCGATCAACATCAACGATTTTTTTACTTANTTTCCATAGATACGCCTCTGCCCACAAGAAAATTTTTAAAAAAAAAACAGATCCAAAGACCAATTAACAGGATATAAGTCATAGTCTACCCCAAGAAAACCTCGACACATTTATTTTTAAATCTTTACAAGCCTAAAATACATTTCCCACCTAGACAATTGTAGCTGATGTAAATAGATACTAATACTGAATAACCCCTTAAAAGTTAATAAGCATATTTCTAATTGATCATGATTTTATATTTGTTAGTTTTATACATGTTTCAGGAGCTGAAGCTTTGTTGAACTAGATATTTTAATAACCGCTGTTATTCAGAAGGAAAGGTGAACAATTTTCAACTTCTCTCGTAAATCATAGTCAATACAAAACTTAGATTAAAAGAAATATCTACGACTTAAAACTTAACTCAGAACCTTCTAAAAGGTCATAAACTTTCTATTGAAACCGTGAAGAAGGAAAATTTAATCTGATAGATTACTTTTAAAAAACATAGAATAGAGAATAAATATACTTCTTTCATATTTTTTAAACAAACACCAAAAATTCATTTTTTGGCTATAATCCAAATTTGGACAAGCAAATGATATACTCGAAATTATAAAGAACTTTCCATAAAATAGTGTAAAAAAATCTTGCAACCACAGATAGCGAACGGTTCAATGCATAGCAAGATTTAAATTCAATAATTACATAAGTGGCACAGAACATAATTCATCAAATCTCCATTAGTAACTAATTAAATATATTTTCATGCGCAATAATACATGAAATTTCAATCGTGTGTGACTGTTTATAGCATTGTTTGAAGTGTTTTTAAAAGCTTAACTATTAGATGAACATTTCAACACTATTGCTCTGAATGTTTTACTCTGTTATATTACAGTATGCTATGAAAAAAAACCCGGTTACATAAAAAAATATATATTTACCTTGCTTGAATTTGAATGATTCATTTTTAAATCTTTTTCTGGCAGTTTCTGACGAATAGTTTGTTTATTTAAATTGGACGATTGATTTAGGGTTAAGCGGGATATACGTTGCTTTTCCATGATTGCTGAAGCTTATAGCTTACCAGTTTAAATTCTGTTATGACCTGCTTCAAATGGGCAGAAATAAAAACCCTGAGGATTATCCGAAGGCATGTCATGACAATCCCTTTAGTTTTGATTGGCGATCGAAGACGCCACGAGAGCAGAACTCTCTACCTATGGCAACACTCACATGCTTGTGGAGTGTCATAGAAGTACGTTATTTTCTGTCTTGATTTTAAAATAAATTAAAACCTTTCAAATTCGGAAACTATTTGCAACTGAAAACTACAATGAACATAGTTCCAAAAAAAGTGCGGTGGAAATTGGCGATCGAATTGGGCTGCAGGTGGCGTAAATCAGAACTCTTTACCTATGGATGGGTGATCGTGTAAAGCTAAGGGTGGCGGCACTAGTGGTAAAATTGCTCTTTCCAGACTTCCGGGTTACTGCTTCCGATATATTTTTTCGCCGCAGATTGAGAAAACGCGCCATCATATTATTGCATCATATCTTTTGCAGTATTTCACATGTACCGAGTTCTTTCTTTCAGCTTTTAAACTTCAGCATTATCATATTAATATTATAATCATTGGAATATTTTCTAATTAGGCTAACTTAAAAAGATATTTTTGGGGACATTTTATTCAAATGTAGCCAAATAAGGGATAAAATACAAAACATGGCAAACCTTAAGAATTATTCACAATGAGATATTAACTTTCCAAAATTTTTTTTGGCCTTACGACCTCTGAGAATCAATACATTTCTGAAAGCTCTTATGAATGGTACAATTATGTTTAGATTTGAGACCAAATTACAATAACAAAACTGCATAGAATATTTGGCTTGTTCACACATCGCCTCGTAGTCATTACATATGCGGAGGGATACACCGGAAATTTTCTAAATTTCTTCCGGTTTAAGGACACTTGTTATTGTTTACATTAGCACATGCTTTCACCATTAGCGTGTGGAAAGTCATAGAGGAAGGAAGTACGTTAGTTTCTCTCTTGATTTTTATATAGATTAAAATCTTTTAAGTTGGAAAATTATATGGAATTAAAACTACATTAAACATAGTTCTAAAAAAAAGCATCACGGAAATTTTAAAAAAATATTTTTATTAAGTAAAAAGGAAAAATATTAAGAAAAGGGAAAATAGCGTAGTACATTCCTATGGATGGTGTTTTCAATAGAAATGTAAACAATAACAATCTCGAGATCGGCACCTACTCTATTTCCGGTTAAAAAGTTTGCAGCTGCTTACTACATGTTATTCTGATAGGCGATGTTTTCAAACGGATAATTTTGTTTTCAATAAAAGAAATAAATTAGATAATTTCTGAGCTCAAATCTGCCGTATTTCATAAGATATTAATGTTATTATGTAATTCTGGGGAGTTTGGAGTGAAAATTTGTTTTAGTTATTTTGTTATTTATTATTAAAAAAGGTGACATGGTTGCTAGATTTTGAATAACTCGCTTTTTTGGCAGTCTTGATTTGGCCTCTTTCCATTTGTTTATTACTGTTTGTTCGTGTTGCAAGCTGTGCACCATCTTACGTTAGTGTTAACACTTTTAGTATTGTAAACACAAGTATTGTTAGCATTGTAAACATAAGTAATAAGTAATCAAATACATTGTTTGCAAGAATCTCAAAACACAATGATGCCAAATGGCTTTAAAATACAACGGAAACAGTAACCCGGAAATTTAGGATGTACCGAGCTTGCAGCGTTCCCTAGTGTAGAAAACTCCAACCATACAACTGAAAAGAGGAGGAGAGGGAAGGGAGAAGGGCTAAAGGCATGAAACCGGTCTCTCCCCAGATGGCGTATTCGAGTGTTGCTATCGCCAATTGTAAAAAATATTTGTGTCAATTAAATACGAAAAATATTAAGAAAGGGGAAAATTTCGTAGTACATCTATATATAACTGAGAAGAGGAGGAGAGGAAGTCATGGAACCGGTCTTTTCCCCGGATATGGCGTATTCGAGCATTACGATCACGAATAGCCCGATGACCTTTTGAGCAAATAAGTTGAGCACTTTACGGTAATACATTTTAACTTAAATCGATAATACACACCCTCTGTTCCTTCAATTTACACGCTGATCAAAGCCGCGACTCATTCGCACACTGACCGAAGCTTGATACATAATAAAACAGCATTGCTTCACTGAAATTACATACAGGCTTGTTTGCTCAATTTAGGCTCATAAACTTTTCCCTTGCGAAAATTATCGTGCGTTGTTGTTGTAGTTCATTTACGTCGCACTAGAGCTGCACAATGGGCTATTAGCGACGATCTGGGAAACATCCCCTTACGTATATTTGAGGTATCGATGTATATATATGAGGTATATTTGAGGTTGCTGAGAAAACAACCATAAAAATTATGCCTCATAAAGGTTGTAATTGAGATGTACGAGGTTGTTTTACATACACTTCAGCTCATTTTGAGGTTGTTTAAAATTCTTTTCAAATCAACCAGACTGATGAGATGACTTGATGGTATACAGGTTGTTTTTCTGACACTTATAACAAAAAGATATTTATGAGGTATAAAAAATTTACTTTATTTCAACGAAAGAGGTGTGAGGTATTTATTGAGGTGTATGAAATCATTTTATTTATTTCCTAAGCTTATTTTGAGGTTGTTTTAAATTCACTCTAATCATCTAGACTGATGAGGTGATTTCTAAGGTATACCAGGTTGTTTCTCTGACACTTATAAAAAAAGAGGTATTTTTGAGGTATAAAAAAATTTACCTTATTTCAACTAAGGAGAGTCAGGTATATATTGAGGTGTATGAAGTCACATTTTATTTATACTTAGGCTTATTTTGAGGTTGTTTAAAGTACACTTCATATTAACTAGCTCACTTCCCAGAGTTCCGAGCGAGCAGGCGAATGGCATGTGTGTGTTAAGTGTTGACAATCGAAAGTCTATGCGAAATTTGGTAAGTGTGTTTGACATTTATTGATTAAGTTTTATCACTTTTAATCAAATATGCTTCAATTTTCAAACTTAAATTTTATTATTTTTGTTTTAAAGACGCGTCCTGATCTTAACTAATTAAAGTCGGTGGATAGGCTATTGATGTAGGCTTAGCAATAAGAAAGAAATATCGGATTATTTCTCGTTGCTGTTTGGGGTAAAGCTACTGGTAAATCGTTACAGCAGGTAAGGCACAGTATATTTTATTGCTTGTTATTTATTCAAATATGACTGCTTTTTTATTTTTGCTTATATGTATATATTTCAACGTAGCAGTATGCAAGCTGATTAATTGAATAAAATATTCATAATTTCTCCTACAAATAAATCATTGAAAAATGAATACAAATAATCAATAATAAATCATTGAAAATTGATTACAAATAAATCATTGAAGATTTTTAAATAGCAATTTTGCTTTGAAATTCTACTACAACTCTATGCTGATCGTTTGCTTGGATATTTGTATGTATGCAAAGTTTGTATTGTTTATGAGTAAAAATATGTAACACTGCATTTTGAATCTGATTAACAAGGGATTTTTTTTTTTGTAAAATACATATATATTTACAAAGCTCATCCGCAAGTAGTTCCCTGAAATTGCTGAGATGACCTGACCTATAGGCTGTAATTAGCAGATGTGCAGCAACGAGGAAGAAGTGGCTAGAAAGCTACTGCTCAGTCTTCCCCGGGGAAATAGTTCTGAATTTATGCCAAAAGAAAAAGTTATCTTGCTCAATAAACTACTGAATTTATGTAATTGTTGAAAACGATAGTTTGCCTGGTATTTGATAACTGAAAACTAGTAACTGTATCAGCTCACTTTTTCACGTTTGATCACAGAGCTGTTATTTTTTACTTCATGTTATTTTTTAACAATTTACCCATTATAATTATTTACTGAGATGATTATTACTAATTAGAATATTAAGCACAATTAAATAAAACCAGATTTCAAGTTTAGATGACAAGTTGTTTCAAGGTTATGAGCATTTTTATGCGCTGCTTAATGTTCTCTACTTGAAAAATTAACGAATTTCGGAAACTTTAATTTCTTTAGAAATAGGTCAGTATTGTTTCTTAAGTATGGTTTTAATGCTGAATTAAATAATTATCAAATTACCAAGTACCATAATGAAAGATGTAGGTTCAATAATGGGAAAATAAAAAGTGTTAAAAGTTCCTAATAAGATTGGAATTTTATATTTGAATTTCTGTAAAGGTTGTTAATGGTAGTACTTTCTTCAATGTATTTTATTTTGTGGCTGTGGTGCCTGACACAGTTTTAAACGCTTTTTTCTTCGAGGATTGAATAGAAATGACAGAAGTGGAATGTCATTTATCTGAAAAAGAAAATTAATTTCATCCAGTTAATTTAAATTATGAAAAAAATGCAGCAATTTCCAATATTTTAATATTTAAAACCTGCCACTATTATTGTAAGTATGACTTTCTTACTAATTCATATTTTTTTCTTTTAGGTTCCAATACTTTCAAGTTTCAACATTGAGACAGAAATCAGTATTCAAAATAATTTTGTTGACTTGTAAAAAACTGAAATTTTAGATTTAAATAAAAGTAACTTGATATGTAAATAATAACTTGATCACCAACTGTAATAACTTGATGCGTAAAATGACGCACTTTAAGTTGATAAAAAAATACCTCTATGAGAATAAAAATATATACTTGAGGGTGAAATATAATAACCTGAGATAAAACACCTCACGTTAGTAAAAAATTACCTTTACAGCTGTCAAAAAATACACTTGAGGTAGATCCAGAATAACCAAAGGTTGAAAACGCAACACCTTAAAGTAGTAAATATCTACCTCTCCACAGATGTAAAATGAAACACCTCAGGTTGATACATAGATATCTCTGGAGGTATATTTAAGGTAAATTTTGAGCTATACATTTGCATATGCATTTCAATCTTAAGATGTATTCAAATAACAACCTCATTTATCTCTCAAAAATAACTCGATATTTCCGTAAGGGTTGTCAAGTAGGATAAAACAATTTAGAGAAGGACATAACAAAGAATACATCCAGGGTTACGGCCACCTCCACGCTTCGCACAGAGTTTGGCGGGCGATACCGCTTGGCCAGAGAGGCCCCCATAGCGGAACAGTAAAAATGAGACACCCTCAACGCGAGAAGATAGCTCATATCCACCTGACCTGTGACCTCAGAGCAGGG